TTGTACATAGGATCGCTATGAGTCGCAAGCAACTTGATGGCGCATAACAACAACAACAAGTTGTGTAATGCCCAAGATTTTAGTAAAACTATGGATTTATTGCCACAGACTGTGCATAATTTTGTTTTGTACTTTTAATACCTAATTGGTATTTTATTTTTTAAACAGAATATTTCAGATTTTTATTTTATCAATCTAACATTGTGTAAGATCTATCCATTCTGTTATCATAACATACAGTCAAGTCGAGTACGACTCATAGTGAGTGACCCTGTAAACAATAGACACATAGGGTGTGTTCTTGAAGTTGATAGTGTTGATGTGTAAATCTAGTCCAGCCTCTGTTAACCTTCATCTCTCCCATTATTTTATGTCTGGTTTCAGCTTTTAGTTTGCCTTGTTTGTTCTGGTTGTTGTTGTTTAGTGCTATTGAGTCAATTTTGACTCATAGTGACCTTAATGTGGCAGTAAATCTGACTCACAGGGTTTATAAAGTTATAACCTTTGTAGTGAAGCTCTCTGGTAGTGCAGTGGTTAAGTTACTAAGCAAAAGAGGGGTAGTTGGGGTCCACTGGCTGCTGTAAGAGAAAAAGATGTGACTGTGCTTCTGTAAGGATGTGTTTCCCTGAAAGCTCTCCAGGGTTCTGTGAGTCGATATCACCTCAATGGCAATGGGTTTCAGTCCTCACTGGAGCATACTGCCAGGTCTCTCTCCTATGAAGTTTCTGGGTGGATACAAACTTGCAGCCTTTTGGTTATTAGCAACCAAGTGCTTAGGTGTTACACCATAGGGTTTCTTAAGTTTGTGTTTAGTTCATATCACATTGCATGAAAATCTCTTTAGTTACATGTAAGAAAAAGATGACCTTGGAATTCCAAAGTCCGTGCAGAGAGATCTGAGAGGTCATCCAGTTCAAATTCTTCTATCCACAGAGGAAAAACTTGAAGCCCAAAGGGCTTAAGTGGTTTGCACCAAGATATACACTAATTATAAGCACATTCTGTGCTAGACCCTGGGTGTTGTCAACAGTGCTTGGATTTGTAGGTGTTTATGTGTTCAGACACAGAAAGCACTTCAAGTATTCTTGATTAAGACAGACACTTGATGGTTTATGGAAACTGTACTTGTCACAGTGTCATTTTATAGTAAACAACATGTGCAGAAGTGTCAGCAAGGAAATGAATCTTGATCAAGCTAAAAATAGACACTTTTGGCAATTATCTAGAAAATAAAGACCACAAGTTGATTCTGATTAATAGCAACCTTATAGGACCGAATAGAATTACCCCGTGAGGGTTCCAAGGCTGTAAATCTTTATGTCAGTTCTTTCTCCCCCTGGGCAGCCAATGATGACTTAAAATCACTTTCAGTTAGCAGCCTAATACTCTCACTACTGTACAACCAGAAGTCCTTATATAGAAAAATGTTTGTTTATAAAATGATATCAGCATTACAAGCAGAATTACTACTTTTAGAAAATTTTTAGTGTCTTTAGATAGGCTGTTTTTTGTAAGGAACATATGAAGAATATTTTTTTTTTAACAGAGTGAGTGAGGTTGGGGAAGGGTGAGAATACAGAAGACTCTCAATATTCCCAACTGCAAGGCATATGGTTAAGGAACTGGAAAATAGGAACTCCCCATGGATTTTCATTTCTGATTCTTTTTGCATATTTGATTTATTCTCCACCTCTCTGTGTTGACTTACCATCAAAGTTTGGACTCACAGTGATTGTCCACCCTTGGTCTATTTGCCATCACAGATATGCCCTCAAAACCAAATGGTTGCAGGAGTAATGATTTTGTAACTTATTACCTCACTTGGGAGGGACTGGAGAGCATTATGCTGATGAACTCAGTCCCACAAGGACAAATATTGTACAAAACCATTATTGTAGAATGAGTATAAGGATCCAAGAGGGGGTGGAAGCAGAGGGATGAGGATGTATGTTTGGGGGGAATTAATCATGGGCTTGTACAATTTGAGGGGTGAGGAAGTGAGGGAAATTGGAAGAATCCGCTTTGGAAAACAATGTATTCGAATTTTGTAAATAAACTAGAATAAAAATAATAAACCAAAAAACAAAAACTCAAATGGTGCAACCAGTTTCCAAATTGTCACAAGAAGTGTTAGTGTATGGGAAAACTCAAACTCATTGCTGTCATGTCAGGACAGACTCATAGCTGATCCTTTAGTGAGTTTTCTAAAACTGTAAGTTGGATGGAAGGAGATTGGTCATTATAGTCCCTCCAAGACGCTGGTAGATTCAAACTGCCAGTTATAGCCTCTGAGTGATTAGCTTAACCCCCAATGGATTACACCAACAGAGGTCTCTGGTGTGTTTGTTGGTGTTAGGTGCTGTTGAGTTGATTACACTTATAGCAAGCAGGCTTGTGAACAGCAGGCCTGAATCCTGCCCTGTCCTGCACCATCCTAACAATCCCTTCTATACTGGAGCCCATTCCTCTAGCCACTGTGTCAATCCACGGTCTTACCCTCCACCCTTCTAATCACTATGTTCTTCTCCAGGGACTGGCCTTCTAGCAACACGCCCAAAGTGTGTGAGACAGAGTTTTATTATACCTCCATCTTAGGAGTACCCTGGCTGCACCCTCTCTAAGACATCTGTTTGGTCTTTGGGCTGTCCAAGTGGTATTCAGTACTCTTCTTGAACACAGAACTCAAAGGCATTGATCCTTCTCCATCTATGAGCTTGGTGCTGAAAATTTTTGTTTTCTTGATGTTGATATATAATCCATATTGAATGAATGCTGTAGTCTTTGACCTTCTGAAATAAGCTCCTCAGGCCCTCTTCTCTTTGGACAAGCAAAGTTATATAATCTGCATGGTTGTTAATAAGCCTTCCTCCAATTCTCATACCACATTCTTCTTGATAGTGTAGTTTCTTGAATGATTTGCTCAGCATACAGATTGAATAGGTATAAAGGGAGGATACCACCTTGACTCACACCTTTCTTGATTTTAAACCATGCAGTGTTCCTCTGCTGTTTGGACAACTGGTGTAGGTGAAGTTAGCTTATATTTGCTTGCTGTTGTTAGGTGCCATGAGTCAAGTATGACTCATAGAGACACTATGAACAAAAGATCTGAATCCTGTTTTATCCTGTGCCATCCTCACACTTCCTGACACAAAAGAGCCCATTGCAGCAGTCACCATGTCAGTCCACCTGGTCAAGGGTCTTCCTCTCCATCGCAGACCCTCCACCCTTCCAAGTATCATTTCCCCCTTCAGAGAACCCCTTCCAGCAACATACCTGAAGTATGTGAGGTAAAAGCCCATCATCCTTGCCTCCCAAGAGCACTCCAGTGTGTAAGCTGATTTGTTGTTTTGATTTAGTTAACACTCATCTGTGGACTGGAAACCTCTTGTTTAAATCAGTCAGGACCTGGTGAGCAGACCTTTGTATTTAAAATTTGGCTGGGTCCTGCCTAAGAGTCTCCAGTCTTGGAGCCTTCTGTGTGTTTATATTTGCTGGTGAGGGCCAATTATGCATCTCTTCCCAATTTTGCACTTAGCGACATCATGGTGGTAGCTTGGAAATGATCATGATTGGAGTGTGTTTAAACAATGAAAATCAGCATTCACTATTGATTGGAGCTTTTTTTCCTCCCTGAAGAAACAGGAGTTAAACATTTACTAACATAAAATTGTCCAGTGGTTGTGATTGAATGTTAGTGGCCAGGCGATTGGTGGGGAGAGAGGTTAGGTGGTTGAGATATGGCTGGCATCAAACAAGTCAATGGATTAGAAAGTTTGAAAAACAAAAGTAACAACCAATCAGAAAAATAGCCTCTGTGTATACATTAGGATAAAGTTGGGTACATAACAAATATTTAACACTGTACTGATTATTGGAGTAGTAGTCGCACTATAGGGTAGGCATTGTTGTTGCTGTTGATAGGTGCCTTGGAACTGAGTATGAATCATAATGACCCTAAGAAAAATAGACCTGAACTGTGTCCCATCCTGGACCATCCTCATTCATCTCTGACATACTTGCGATAATTGATGCAGTCTCTGAAAGGGAAAAAAAGTGAAGCACTGAAAATTTGGCAGTTTGAACCCACTAAATCCTCCTTTCTCCGGGGAGAAAGATGAAGCAGTCCATAAAGATTTGCATACTTGAAATCTTATATTGTGGTTCTACTCTGCCTTACAGGGTCACTATGAATTGAGCTTGACACCATGGCAATGGGTTTGGTTTACTGATAACCACCCACTGATTAGACTGGACGCTTAATTTGTTATCAGATCATGAAGGGCCTTTGTAATACAAATTCTTGTAAAAATCTCATAGCCACTAGATAAGGGAAAAATACATAAAGTAGTGAGTGTAGATATAGCCTTTGCAACATGTAATTTTCCTGCCTTTATTTTATGTAAAAATTATTTATTTTGGTTTACATACAAAATTCATATCCATTGTGTTCCACGCATTCCTCTATTCACCTTGTGTTTCATATGTTCATTTTCTTAAATTGTGTTTTATAAAATTAATCACCATTGGTCCATGCCCACCCTTACCCTACCCTTTCAGGTCTCCGCTGGATATTTCCTCCTTCCTTCACCTCCTTCCCTCACTCTTTCCACCAACTCTGATATTGCTCACTCCCTTCATCCTTATCTCTTTTCTTCCCTCCCCTACATCCTTTGGACATGTGTACACACCTTACTAGTAATCCTTCTAATTTTACAATAATGGTCTTATGTAGTATTTGTCCTTATGAGATTACCTTTAATTTTTTTCCATCTCAAAATGATGCTCAGGGTATTTAAGACTTTTCTACCTATTTAACTTGCAGTCTTGTTGTAAAGGTAAAATGGAGGATGAAGACAAACAATTTGAATCATTAAAAGGTGTTGAAATGTAAACTGTTATTTTCAAGAAAGCTTTCAAATGTTCTCTATTTATTATTTACTTATAATTTATTTCTTTATTGATGCAGGTGACAAAATCTCCTGAGGATGCCTCTTCCCTTCCCAATGGTGAAGTAACTGGAGAGGCACAGAGCACCACAGAGGTAAGCATTGATGTCCTGATTTGCCTTCTCCCACACTGTATTCTCAAATGTCTATCTCCAATTCTATTTGTATTTTTAAAACTTATTTGTTGTGCTGTTATTGTTGACAGCAAACATAGCAAAACATATACCAAATCAATAGTTTCTAGTATTTTGTGACATTGATTATCTTCTTTGAGTTTGCCACCCTTCTCATTCTCCTTATCTGAGTTGTTCATCCCTCATTAACATAGACTCCTAAGATTTCTAGCTAATCTTTTGAGTTGTTATTGTCAATTTGATTTCACATAGACAGTTCTTAAAAAAGAATAATGCTCAAAGCAGACCTTTTCTTACATTTTAAGTCAAACTGTTGTTCGGTTGTAAGATGACTCCAGGTGATATTTTTGGTTGAATGTTTAAAGATTCTCTCAGGGCAGTAGTTTCAGGGCTTCACTTACAATCTACAGCTCCAAAAAATCTGGTGTCCATAAGAATCTTAAATCCTGTTCTGGATTTCCCTCTTTTTGTAAGGTTTTTTCTATGGATTCTCTGGTCAAAAGTTTCAGAAATGGCTACTGGGTATTAGCTGGTTCTTGTGGTCTCATAGCAAAGGAGGCGGTAATCAGCCACATTCCAAATTCTCCTTCTATTCTAGCTCTCCTTTTTCCTCTTTTGTTCTGGTTGGATAGAGAACAATTGTTGTGCCTGAGATGGCTTTTGGCAAACTTTTAACACCACAGGCACTACAAACACAATGAACTAGTAGGTAGAATAAAAGCAGTAAACATGTTGTTATATATGTGAACTGGGCTGTCCATTGAAACTATCCCTAAATCTCCAAACCAAGGAACCAAATCCTGTGAGTTATACAGTTG